GGCGATGTCAGCGGGGAAACGCTGGCGGTTCGACGAGCCCCGGGTTTGGCCTGTTTGCCGATCTGAAAGGCGAATGACAGGGTAAGGAGTTCCTTTTTGCCCTCAGAGCTACCCTCGGTGCGAGTCAGTAAATCAGACGTGCTCGAAATGTCTGGTTTGGGTTTTGGTCCTTGTTTGTGTCTGGGCTTCAGTGGCCTGTGGGTGAGGCTCGAATGGAAAATTACACCCACAAATCGTGAAGACAGAGGTGATGTTTTTGCGTGTCTGGTATCACAAAGAAGAACTTTCTAGAGAACACATATAAAGACGCTCTTTCACCTTTACTGTAGAAACCATCCTCATACAAATACAGAGTACTGTGCTTGAAATGATTGCGGTGGTGCCAGCAATGTGCAGTCTCTGTGTTCAAACGGAAATGTGCCACTTAACCGAGCTGGGGGGGCAACGGCTTGGTAAGGACGTGAGTTGTCAGCCTTCCAACCGTCTTTTGAGCGTTGATTTGCAAGCTTCTCAATAACTACATTATCCCTGAACCACCTCTACTGTCCCCAAATTTCCCAATGTCACAGGCAGGCTTAAAAGGACGAAGCTCTTAACAAGCCCTTGCCTACACCAGCACGCTGCCCATCACTGACACGAGATGTGGCTGATTTGGGGCAAAACAAACTGTCAGCCCCTTGGGCTCTGCTGCTGCCTTGGAAACGGCGTGAAGACATTCTGTCTTCTGTGGCACAGCAAGGCAAGCCATTCTGCTGCACATCACAGAATCACAGAATCACAGAATCACAGAATGTTCGGGGTTGGAAAAGACCTCTGTGGGTCACTCAGTCCAACACTCCTGCCGAAGCAGGGTCACCTACAGCAGGCTGCAGAGGACCTTGTCCAGGTGGGTCTTGAATATCTCCAGAGAAGGAGACTCCACAACCTCGCTGGGCAGCCTGTTCCAGTGCTCCGTCACCCTCAGAGGGAAGAAGTTCTTCCTCATGTTCAGATGGAACTTCCTGTGGACACCCACCCTTCAGATATTTTTAAGCATTTATGAGGTCCCCTCGTAGCCTTCTCCAGGCTGAACAAGCCCAGCTCCCTCAGCCTTTCCTCATAGGAGACATGTTCCAGTCCCCTCACCATCCTCGTAGCCCTCCACTGGACTCTCTCTAGTAGCTCCTCATTTTTCTTGAACTGGGGAGCCCAGAACTGGATGCAGTACTACAGATGGGGCCTCACTAGGGCAGTGTAGAGGGGAAGGATAACCTTCCTTGACCTACTGGCCGCACTCCTCTTTATGCACCCCAGGATCCCATTGGCCTTCTTGGCAGCCAGGGCACACTGCTGGCTCATGGTCAACTTCTTGTCCACCAGCACACCCAGGTCCCTCTCCACAGAGCTGCTCTCCAGCAGGTCCACCCCAAGCCTGTACTGATGCATGGGGTTGTTCCTCCCCAGGGGCAGGACCCTGAACCTGCCCTTGATGAACCTACAGGCCGGTCAGCCTCACCTCCATCCCGGGAAAGGGGATGGAGCAGCTTATCCTGGAGGTCATCAACAAGCAAGTGGAGGAAAAGAAGGTTATCAGGAGTAGTCAGCATGGATTCACCAAGGGGAAATCATGCCTGACCAATCTGATAGCTTTCTACGATGACATGACTGGCTGGGTAGATGAAGGGAGAGCCGTAGATGTTGTCTACCTAG